AGCTCACAGCAACCTCAGACTCCTGGGCTCAAGCGATCCTCCTGCCTCAGCCTCCCGAGTAGCTGGGACTACAGGCTTACGCCACCATGCCCAGCTAATTTTTTCTATATATATATATATTAATTGGCCAATTAATTTCTTTCTATGTATAGTAGAGACGGGTCTCGATCTTGCTCAGGCTGGTTTCGAACTCCTGAGCTCAAAGGATCCGCCCGCCTCGGCCTCCCAGAGAGCTAGGATTACAGGCATGAGCCACCGCGCCTGGCTGATTCGCGTATTTTAAATGGGTTCATCAATGCATCGTTTTAGAATTTCTCAGCTTTAATTCTTAATGCCGTATATATTGACAGGTACAACCCGTATAAACAAGAGTTCTCTGCAATCCTCAATAACTTTTTAGCCACAAAGGGGTCCTGAGATTGACTGTTTTGATGGACAAAGAGCGCGTGGGAGAGGCGAGAGAGGAGAGCAAATCGAAGCTCTGTTTGCCCTCGGACCTGCCCTCCAACCTCTCCGGCCTCACCTGCCGAGGGAAGTGCTGACCGGGAGGTCCGAGCCCCCACCCTTACCACGGGAGATTTGGAGCTCAGCGAGGCCAAGGGGGCCTCCCTGGAACCCGGCTCCTTGCACCACACCAGGGAAATAGGAAATACAAGAAGCTAAAAATAACCGCCCCAGGCCTGGGGTCAGGGGGCTCTCCCCCGGCAGAGGACAGGGATGATGTCAGCGCCAGGCAGCATTCCTGGGCCGCTCAGGTCTGTGGGCCACTGCTCAGGAATCCACGGTCCCTCTGTGCCGCCTCTAATCTCGCCCGGGCGGGCGCAGAGCGAGTGCACGTCACTGCATGTGCGTGTGCGTGTGCGTGAGCGTGAGCGCCGTCAACGTGAGAAGGGATCGGGTTTAGGCTCTGCGTCCTTTTAGGGAAGTCTGCTGGAACAAAGCAGTTTCATTTCTCAGGAACGCCTTCTCCTTCCAGACCTCCCTGCCTCACGCCGCCGTCTCTGTTTTCCAGTCTGGCTGCAGCCACGGACCACAGCCTGCGCGGCCGGGCCAACTCCCCACGTGCCGCGCACTTGGGTCTCCCAGAGCGTCTCCCCTCGGGCGCCCGTCTGAGCGCAGGAGCCGAGTGTCACGTCTGTGGTCCCTGCAACAACTGAATCCCGCAGGTGGCTGTGACAAAGGGAGTCGGGGCAGCGTTGCGCTGCATTCGAGTTTCCCTGCGCCCCTCGCAGCCGTCTGGGCGGAGCAGGAGAGAAGGCAGGTCGCTTTGCGGGGAGGTGCTCTGGGGAGCACGGTGATGGGGGCTCCAGGGAGCATGGTGACGGGGGGCTCTGGGGAGCAGGGTGATGGGGGACTCTGGGGAGCAGGGTGATGGGGGACTCTGGGGAGCAGGGTGA